ACAGATACAAACAACAAAGTTCAGCTTTCATGTGGGCTAGATAGACCATCTGTGCTTTGTTCTTTGCCCATCAATGCTTATTTTGTGTCTTCAGACAACCCACAGCTTTGAGCAGAAGTGGCTTGCACCCACAGGTATGATTGCCCCCAGGCACTGGAGAAGAAGGGGTGCTCTTGAGTTAAGCACAACCAAATGTTGCTCTTTTCCAGGACTTTGATCTTAGAAGTTTTCCCTCCCCAAATGGCAAAGACTGGTGCATTCCCCTTCAGCACTAGGTAGCTCTAACCGACAGGATGCAATGAACCTGTAGTTGTGTGCAAAGACAACCCAAATTGTGTGCATACAAAAAGGACCGTTGAAAATATGGCACTTATGGTGACTGTCTAGACAATAACATCTTCCAGATCCTTTACCGCCATGAAAAGAAGCAGACATTGCTCATGAGCCAAGAGGTCTGTTTAGCTCCTGAGCCTAGGCAGATGGTGGGGAGACATGGGTCCTGATTAGCCACTGTTCCTGCTTTTGCAGGTTACAATGCCTGGAGGCGCTTCTGTGGGCTCTCCCAGCCTCAAAACGTAGATGAATTCTCTGAGGTGCTAGGCAATTCCGAACTGGCCAAGAAGTTCATGAAGTTGTATGGGACACCAGACAATATTGACCTCTGGATTGGGGCAATCGCAGAGCCCTTTGTTCCCCAGGGCAGAGTTGGACCCCTCCTGGCCTGCATCATTGGCACCCAGTTCAGGAACCTGCGTGATGGGGACAGGTAGGTAGCCCTGAGAGCAAACCTTTCCCATGGAATTTATTATGGGAAAAAAATGCTGACATTTCATGTGACATACTAATCCGGCCCATCTCCAACATGCCAGTGACTGCTCCCAGCAAGGCTCAAACTTTGATTTTAGCCCAGTTGCCAAAGGAGTCTTTTTTGCAGCCCATTCCTGCAGACCCATGTGGTTGAGGAGCACCAGCTCCAGGCCATGGGTGATCTGCAGTAGTCTTTGCCTGAGGTGACATTTGCTCTCAGGGTACAAAAGAGGAGGCTCAGTCACTGCAGCCCAGCAGCCTGGTGATGCTGTGTGGAAGAGGCAGGCTCTCTGCACTGGTGGGTAAGTGGCAGAATCCAGACCTGGCTACACTGGAGACACCTCTTTCCAAGGGGGTGCGCCTGCTGCCTGATGAATCAAGGTGGATCTGAGCAGAGACTCACCTTGCTCAGATTCCCATCTTGGGAAGTATCCAGCACCAAATGCCTTCAAGGAGACTATAAACTGCTTCTGAAAATATCATTGCAGATTCTGGTGGGAGAAACCAGGAGTTTTCACTCTGCAGCAGTTGCATGCACTGAGAAAAATCTTACTGTCAACTGTGATCTGTGACAATACTCATATCAAAAAGATACCCAGGGATGTGTTCAAGATCAACAGTTATCCTGAGAACTTTGTTGACTGCCATGAGATTGACAAGCTCGACCTCTCACCCTGGAAAGATGAGCCTGAGAGTGGCACAAAAGGTACACAGTTGTTTGAGGTCTGTCAAAAATAATAAATGCCCTACAAGGTCAGACTCTTCCATGCCTAAAGCAATAAAAGAATTAAGGTCATCTCAGTGACTCTGCCCCCCAAAAGACCTTGACCATCCCTTCAGCCCCACTCAGACACCACTGGAGGCAGAGATGCTGTTAGCCTAGTCTCCTTGCAATCCATCACCTTCGTCATCCCTTACTAGATTGTCTCTTTCTCTTCAGCTAGACAGGAAATCCCTGAAAATCCAGTCTGTTCTGGCCCTTGTGAATGTGTCCTCTAAATACCTTATTCCAGGACAACTGGAGTCTTACTTCACAGGAAGGGTGTCCATGAGGAAATTAATTTGAATTAGCCAACCTGCTCCAAATTCATACTCTGCTGCTCCAAGCCCCTGCTCTCCCCTTGCCTTCCCTAAAGCTTTAAAGCATTTTAAGGTATATCTGGAGTTGTTGTGACACTGTATGGCCTGACACACCAGTAGTTTAACACACATAGTCAGAGATTATGATGTACCACATCCTGAAAGACAGTAAAACAGTGTCTTCATTTAAGAGATGTGGACACTAGCTGTGTCCTCTTATTGATATGCTTTTGGCATAGGCTTTGCCAGTTGAAAACGGTGTAGGGAGAACAGAGACTTGCAGAAGACAGGTATGACCTGAGCAGAATGGACTGGGTTGGATTTTTTTTCCGTCCGGCAATCCATTTATAGATGATCACGATATCTGGGGGTCACCTACTCTGTCCTTGTGCAAGGCACAGACCACAAAGCATCTCCGGGCAGTTCCTGTATTGAGTTTGATTAACTGTATTTGGGAGAGACACTGTTGTTTAAGAAAGACATTTGCACTTGATGGAAAGGCTAAATTATGGTGACTTCACCCCATTCTTTAGGAACCAAGTCCAGCTGATGCTTGCCTTCTCGATACGATAGAGGCTTCCTGATTTCTTTTATTAATTTAGTCTTACGGTCAGTAAAACTTGCTGAGCCTGTTCCTGTGGCTCTTTTATCACCAGTCTGGGAGGAACCTGAATTGTGTTTGCATAATCCAGAGATAGTGAAATCCCAGGGTGTTAAAAAGCAACTGCTAAAAGTTTAACCTTTTCAAGTGCCAAGAAATTGCCCCAAAAGCACTCATCCAAAGGGTGTCTGATGTTAGGTCACTGGAGGTACCTTTTGACAAGGCTGGAAGTACTGCGGTGTCTCAGAGGTACAAGGATACAGGGGTGACCTGATACTCAGTTACCCATTCACCAGTGACTATTTTAAGCTATGGAGTCAAATAATAATGTGGGGAGAAAAACTGTGTCCCGGAAACATTTTCTGCCTCTCAGTAACTTTTTCTGCTTCATTGACAGTTTCTAATCCTGCTCATCAGACCAACACTGGAAACTCCTAATGGTGGCACTGAGCTGCTCTTGGGAAAGTGCTGCCTGTACATCATGCTCAGCTGACTGCTGTTGACTGAACCTTGGCACATGATTTTCCAGACAGGGGCTCAAGACTATGTCTACTGTTTTATTTGCTGTACTGTAATTTTTATATCATTTATTTGTAAAAGCTTCCAGTAATGTAAGTCTTCAAGTGGAAAGGTAATGACATTTTATTGTCTGTTGCCCTAAAAAAATGTTCAGAGGTGTGCAAGAGCTGGTTAGGTGCTGGATGCTTTATGACTCTCTAAAGGCACAATCAAGACAATTTTTTTACTTCCCATCCTGAATGGGTGTCAAATCTGGAGGCTGGTGTGCTCGCATTTAAAATCAAATTCCTTATCCTTTGTACCTGTTCAGAAATTAGCAAGTTCATGTAATCTTTATCAAAGCTTTTCTTATCTCCTTCTTGTTTTGCACAAGAGCGTAAACTGTTCAGGCTGTTTCTAATTAGTATTTCAGTCTTTGAAGACACTGGAGAATGACAGCTGCATCTTGAAGCCTAGAGACATCTTTTATTTAAATCCTATAGTGAACATGTGTGTGTTTGGGTGTGCTGGGCAGTAATAAAATACATTGTATGCACTCACCTACATTTGACATCAATTCTGGTATGTCAAACGTGTCCAAAATATTCTTTGGCTATGCTTCATAGCTAAACATATCAGCATAAAAAAGCAAACCATAAGCTGGCTGCTATGTAAACTACAAGCATTAGGGCTAAAAAATAATCATCCGGCTAGGATGGTCACTCCCAAGACCCTATGAAGTCAATAAATAATGAACATGTAAAAATCATATTAAGTTTCCATCTCTCCTTGGCACAACTGGGAGGGAAGGAGGGGACTGGGAGCAAGAGGGTGGCAGCCTAAGAGAGACTCATGAGAGAAGCTTGTGGGTAGAGTAGGTGCCTCTCTGATGAAGACTTTAAAGGACATGCTTGGTAAAATCTTGTGGCTACAGCATCAGCATACGTGCTTTGCCATGGTGGGGTATGCTGGCAAGTCACGCTCAGCCCAGCACCCCACATTGCCCACCCATGGCCCAGGGGATCCGCAGGAGGCCTGCTGGATTGCCAGGACCCCAGATGAGTGATGGAGCTTGGGGACCATGCTGCTCCATGAGCCCTCAGCGCATGGGGAGTGGGGAAAGGCTGCGGTGACCCTGGGCAGAGGAAGGCAAGACATCATCCTCTGACACATAGAAGACAGGGCAAAACCAGGCAGTATTCAGAAATCAGGAGCTGCGGCTCCTGGAGTGTATTTGAGTTGAAAAATCTATAGGTTGTGTTAAAAACCATGAGATTATCAGTGCATGGCAAGGATATTAAGCAACACATTTCTGCTGTTTGCCTCTGGTTTCTGAGTGCGCAGGCACGTTCCCCTCACACTTTCAAGATCTGCTCAACCACTGAAAGCAAAATCTTGCTTTGCTTAAAAGGAAGGCTAGAAAAACCAGAGAAACCACCAGCCCCTGCAGAGACATGTAAGGTCTTTAATTCCCCTCTCCCAAATCTGCCTTGGCTTTCCCTTCTCGTGGCAGAGGTACCTCCCAATTGCTCCCTACAGAAAGAGGTAGGAGACAGTGCCTTCTGCTGAGTGCGCTTCCAGGGAAATGTGGCAGTCCTCAAACCCCAAGACAGCCACTTCCCCAGGCAGGATAGTCACAGGCTTGGGATAAATGCCTCCACCTTCTTGGTTTTGAATAGGAAAATGTGATTATAAGCATGCAGCAATGATCACAGGAAGGGTCCAGCTCTGCCTGGGGTCCAGCTGGAGAAAAGTTCACAGGGTTACAATTACAAAGAAATGTCCAGCTACCCACCATGTGTCTGTCCATGCAGGTGACACAGTTCTCTGGAAGGAACATGGCAAGCCTTTCACCAGCTCCACTTACAAGCTTTTCTTCATCTGTGGACATTTTGCCTGTCTCTGCTATATCAGGGTTGCAATCCATGGTTGTCTCTGCTGCAAGACCTTCTTGTGGTTGCCATGCTCCCTGCCCCGCTGCTACACGCACAGCTGCAGCTGGAAGATAGGATCGCTAATGGGAAGTCCCATTTGTCATTCCTGATATCGCCTGATAGGTGGTGAGCATGGAGTCACTGACCTGCTCAGTGAGTTTGGGAACATCGTCTGGGGCTAAGCCAAGGGTTTCCACTTCTGGCAGGATCTGGATTATGCTTTTTCCTGGAAGAGTGAGATAAGAGGGCCAGAGAGGGGCAAGAAAATATGTGAGTGGTGTAGAAGAGCAAGAGAAGACATAGCAGAGGGATCAGTGCAAACCAAGGAACAAGACAGAAACGAAGGGAAATGCCCTCTTTCCCACACCAGCAGTGGTGTAGCAACCCAGTCATGTCCCAGATGCACAAAGCAAAAGCCCAAACCAGGCTTTTCCCATCCACAGACACAGCAAAAATCATAAATACAGAAACAAGTGAATCTCTCCCCAAATACATCCAATGCAATGATTCATATAGAAGAAGTTGTCACAGCAGAAAGACCTCAGGGTCTGTTTAAATCACAGCAAAGAGAATGAGATTGCTGTAATAGCACACATCCAAACCGACCGTGCTATGATCTATGTATACCAAATTCAGCAGAGTCCCCCCTTCCAGAAACACACTTTGGGATGCAGAAATTGCACCCAGGACTCCCTGTTTGGCCAAGGTGCGTCATACTCCTCTTGGGAAGCATCTAAGCAATGGACTGGTGTAAACAGGAAGAATACACTGGGGAGCTGTCATCATGGTTTTCTGCTCTTGCACCCAGTGGCCCTTGCTCTGGCCAGCAGAGATGAACAGTGCCTGCACAGACATGCACCTGAGGATCTGGGGACTGTCTGTGTTATTTTCTAACTTTCTTGCATGCCTTTACACGTGTGCTAGGAAATGAGATCCAGAAGTGTTGCTAGCAGAGCCATGCAAGGGAGGCAAAACAGAAGCGTAGATAAAAGCTTCACAAAAGAAGAAGGCATGCTCCCTGCCTGCCATCTTACATCCAAAGCTAGATTTGGTATCTCAGCAGTCTACTATGCTTCACTTGGTCCTACAGAAAAAGCTGAGTGATGACAGGGCTGTGCTGAAAGTGTAGGTCTGTAGGGGTATAACAGACTCCCAGCAAGCACCAGACTTGCTCCATGCATGACAGTGTGCACACACTAGACACAGAGTTGGGCTTTCCAGAAGCTCATCAGCATGCCCAAAGCCACTGTGGGCATGGTGAACTATCCTGACCTGAGGATCAGCCTGCTCAATGTGCAGAAATCTTTGCCACATGTAGCACCTCTTCAGAATCAGCCCTGGCAAAACTTGCAGGTGGGAAAAAGTGGGAAGATACAGGAAAAGTTAACTGTGGTTCTTTCTCCAGCAGTGAAGATCCTACCTGTTTAACAGCAATTTGGAAAAGGGCTTAGAGGTCAGCTAACCACTAACTCCCATGGTGAGGTTATTATAATGTCAAATGTACACGCAACCAGAAATAGTCTTTCCTAAAAAGCTCAGGAAGGTTGTGGAATCTCCTTCCTTGAAGTTACTCCAAACTTGGCTGGACAAGGCACAGAGAAAACTCATCTATCTTTAGAGTTGGCCTTGCTTAAAGCAGAAGGTTCAGCTGCTTCAGGGATCCCTTCCCATTGCGTTCATCTCTGATTTCCCAGAGCTCTGTCTTGGTTGCCCAACTGAGCAGGGACGTGATGGGGAGGAAGCAGGCTAGCAGAGCAGGGCTGATGTCCCTGCTCATGCTCCTATCGACACCCACAGCAGGGAATACTTCCAGTACCAAAAGGTTTTGGTGTGTTGCCAATAGAGACAGGATAGTCCCAGCAGATGAAAGATTAGTAGAAACAGACAATGCAATGTTTAACATTTGCACCAACTCTCTCTTCCAGGTGTCTGCCTGGGAGGGGATGACTACACCCAGGCACAAACAATGGGAGGAATGAGAATGTCGGATGCAAGTCCTCCCCTTGGGAAACAGCAGTGCTGGCCTGGTGGGAGGTGGAAAGTGGCAGAAGCTCATTTTGGGATGGGTGTCAGTAAAGGAAGTGGAGGAACAGGATGGGTTACCTTTCTTTGTTGGAGTTTGAAACATTTTTTTCTGCATTTTTCTTCTGAAGCCAAGACTTACATAATTTTTTTCCCCATAACATTTTGTCAGTGACCAGGAGAAATTTTTGTCACCATAAATGGATGAAACATGGTAACTGGGAGGAGACACACTCTCAGGGTGACTTTTGCTGAAAGCTCCATGTTTGCTTTTGTTTCCCAGCTCTCCATGCACCTGCAGATCCAAGGACAGCATGGTGGGGCTGGGGGCAGGACCTGCCCCTGGGCTCCACTGCTTCTCCATGTTCCCTCGTACAGGTATTGGACAAGCTGTGAGAAATCCAAGGGGAGAGGCAAAAGTGATGCCTGGAATCTCCCATTCCCTCCCCTCCCGAGAAGACAGAAACTACTGTTGTCTGGCTGCTATCTCCACATCGCACATGGTCCCCTGCCCACCCACATCATGGCTCCCTCCAAGGACTGAGGTTGCACCAACACCTAGCCTGTTCTTTGCCCCAGATCATCCTCACCTGGTCTAAATCTCTTCTCCTTCTGGTTGTGGAAGTCATAATAGGAAGAGATCACTACAGGAATAATGGGGACCTGGAAGGGAGGCGGTCTACAGTGAATCTACAAATTTCCAGATTTCTCCCCCAAAATGGAACTGGTGTTCTTAGGTGAATCCAGCACCTTGCTGATAATTATCCCAGTCAGCTTCATAGTAGACACTCAGAGTTTTTTGGGGATATTTAGATCATTTAACCATATCACCCAATGTCCTCGCTGTTGGTTTTTGTGTTTTCATCACTGTAGTTAGGCCCAACAATGCATGGATTGTCAAATTAGTATGCGCAGAGGCCTGTTCAGCAGAAATTCCTCCTGGGCAGGTCCAGGGTTCTTGTCAAGGTCCTCCCACTTTTTTCACAAGCCGAGTTGTGAAGGTTTTCCACTTGTCCCAGAAACAGCCCCCTCCTGAGCCACCTGCAAGCTCCTTGTGGGGTCCTGGATACGTGCTTGATCCAAAGGAAAGCCAGGGACCAGGAGCCACATAGCCCTGGTTGCTGGTGGACCATGGTAGGCAAATCGCATGCCAAGGGGCAGGAGGAAGGTTGCTCTCACTTAGGCTTTCACAGCCAGCTGGAAGGCCCCACATTTGAAGGGCAACATGAAGCTACCATGACTACAAGTTCCTTCAGGGAAGATCAAGACGTGGAACTGCAGGAGGGAGAAGATACTGAGACAGAGGGACCTCCAGTTACTATTCTAAGCCACTGCACAGGCATACTCCCCTGGGACTGATCTGTCTGCTCCTGATCATGCAGAGACATCATCTTCCTCCACTTCAAGCACTTTATGGACACACAACACACTGAACCCACCAGAGATGCTCTTACTCTGTTCTGCTCAGTGCCCAGCCCAAAGATCCCTTTCCAGCCACATCAAGGTTCTAGTGGCTCCTCACCAGAGTCCTCCCCACTCACATTTTCTTTGTGGAGGGAGTGTGCCACCTCTATCAAGGTAGTGATAGACTCTTCCCTCTTCTTGTGGTCAATGAAAATGAGTCCTGAAAGCCAGCATGCTAGGCTGAAAGTGCCCATGTAGAGGATTTCCTTCCTTGCAATGGGCACACAGCAACTTGGTAATACCTCCATCATCACTGGAAGGGGAGAACAAAGACAGAACAAGTTATTATCTATCTGCACTGAGGTTTCCTCCAGATTCTGGGCTACAGCCCTCTGCTCTAGGAGATGCCATGCCTGCAGTCCCCATCCAGCTTCACAGGATCGGAAACATGTTGGGAAAGGGATTCTGGGGGTCTCCAGACCAACCACCCACTTAGAAGAGGACTATTGCTGATGCTAAATGAGAGCAGCTATGACACGGCTGTGATCAACTGACAGTCTCATCCCCATTGTCTTGGAAAGAATGAAGCTGATTTAGCTTGAAAATGCCTCTAATACCCTGGAGAACAACCCTGGCTTTAATACCCTGGAGATCAGCCCTGGCTTGGGACTAGCTGGTAATGGACTATGTAGCAGCCACTCCTGCTCCTCTGTCTGCAGTACCTGGGATTTTGTACTACCCTCCCCTACAGACAACTGGGGCCGGGAGCAGGATGCGGGATCACCACATACCCATAATGTCAAGGGAGGTCTGGTCATTCAACATGAGGATGAAAGGTTTCTTAGTCCTGAGGTTCTCCTTGCCCTTCACCATTGTCTTGAGACCAAAGATGTAGTTGAGGGGCAGGAATGACATGCACAAAAACCTGGGAAAAGGGAGTGGACATTAGCCAAAGAGGTGCTGAAACTGGGTAAAGGGAACAAACACCATTCTTCCAAACCAGCCCATCTCACAGACTGCTCCTGCAGAGTAGCCTGTTTCTCCACAGACCCGGATTTGACTCATGACTTGGAGAAGAGCAACTAGTATGTCTCTTGAGCTCATCATTTCACTAGAGGAGACAAATACACCTAGCAGGTTTTCTTCAAGCCACATTAGACCAATGGCCTAGCAACTACAGCTACAGCAATTCCATGGATCAGCCAAATATTAGATAATGACAAAATTCATAGTGCACCTGTTTGTACTCTACTTCCCTGCTCACCTTGCTGAAACACAAATACAGGCTGCAATAAACATGCACCCAATTCTGCTATTGCCCAGGCTCTGGAAAGAGAGATGATTTTGCCTCTAGGTGACGTTAGACTGCAATTCTGGTAGCCATATTTTAACAGATACTGGAAAAATAAAGAAACGAAGAAAGTCAGACACAAAAGTCAAGAACTGAAGAAAATTTCTTAAAGCGAAAGGCTGATGCTCAGTTAGGAGATACCAACTCCCACTGCAGCATACAACAATGAATAGTAAATCCTGCCTCTGCAGCACTTCAGGAGGCTACGAGCACTATGCTGCCATCTAGCAGAGTCATCTTCGAGCCCCCACTCAACCCACACCCCAAGTTACTAATGCCCACCGCTACTAATCACATGTGTACACGCAGCTGCCCAGTCTTCGGGTAAGTCCGACAGCTTGCTGCAGAGGCAGTAACAGACAGAGAGAGGGGATGGGCAGCGAGGGGATGGGCTCAGAGGCTGCCAGACCTGGGGGCACCAGGCTGTAATTGCAGTGATGGGGACAGTGTAAATGCAGGCACCAGCACTGCACCATGGTAATGTCTGCTCGTGCCCGTTCAGGTGGGCACTGGGTCAGAATAAAGCTGTGAAAGAGAAGAGCACCTGCAGAGGCTTTCTCAACACAACTTAGAAAGTGAATGATCGGCCACATGGAGGAGGGAAATACAGCTCTGAAGACCAGACAGGAGAGCTTTACAGCAAGTTACTTTACCTGTGCATTACATCCAGTTTGTTGGCATTACTTAGTTTGTCAAATTTATGTCACCTTTTACATCCTTTGCTTGCATAAATTGTTATTCTATCAACTCAAATACAATACTGAAACCCACATCCTTTCCCTGAATTACAGGGCCTGTCAGTTCTTCACACCAATATACAACTAATTCTTCCCTGCTGCAGTGCAACTCCCAGGACCCTACAAAACAGAGCACGAGTTGACTCAATGCCCAGAGCAGAAAGAAGCCACAGACAACTCCATGTTTTCCATGTTACATTCACGAGAAACACTGATCATAATAACCAGAATGCTTAGGGTGAAGAGCCACAACTTATAGAAGGTCATCTTGCAGAAGTGTCTGAATGCAGGATTCACCTGGTAAAGGACTAGAAACACGATGAACAGAAAAGTAAATGGTTAATAAAGGAGCAAAAGCTCCATCCTTCCATCCCAGAGTCAACCAGAGGAGCATTGCACAGCGCAGTTAAATGAGTCACAAGCACCCAATGTTGTGGAGCAGAGTTTAGATTCCCTTGATCAGCTATATGTGGGTGGTGCAAAGCTGGAACGAGATTCAGGAGCAATGCTTCAGAAAGGCTGTGTTTGCTGTGCAGAGCTAAACTAACTTTGGAAAGCCAGTTTAGCAAGGGCACTCCAGAAGCACTGTGTGCAGGAGCTGGCTGGCAAGCAGGGGCAAACACGCAATAGCAAGGGTGCCTATGTGCAGGGGGTGTGTGGCTCTGGGCTGGTCGAGCAATGACTGCTTGGAGAGACAGCTCCCCTTTGACATGGCTCTGTGCATAGGAACCCTGAGAACTTTTAAGAAAATCTTTAATAGGAGGGAGTGGGATAAGTCAGACAGCACAGACACCAGACTGTCTCACTCTCTGTGCAACCATTGAACTTTACCAACAAGTGAGCTGGCTGCAAGTTGTCCAGGAAATCAGAAATTAGTATTATGGAGGAGAGAAAGAGAAAACCAGTGATCCTAGCAGCCATCTCCTGCCCCATACATCTAGGCATTGGAGGGACCAAGCTGAGCAACTGGACATTCCTCAAGTAGAGTGGAAAAGTGGCAAAAGTGCCACACGTCTAGACAAAAAGATAAACAAAGCAAGAGCAGTTACTCCTGATGTTTTCATGGCCAGAGGCAGGCACGTGTTTAGACAGCATCTGCATACATAAGAAGTAAATCAGGAAAATGCAAGTATAACCTGGGAGTGCTCCAACTGCATTTCAGCTCCTAAAACCACTGCATGAAAAGGATCTTTGCAGTAAGTGCAATGACTAAGCTGAAAAACAAAAGCTTCGTGATTCATCATTTGCACAACAGGCCTTGCTCAAGCAGCTGTCACTTAAGGGGAATAACAATATTAAATTCCAGCCAGGACTGAAAGCTGCAGATTCTCAAAAGGGAATAGTGCAAGGACCCATAAAACCACACTGAATGTCACCAGCAACCTAAAGAACAACATTAAATCCCCAAGAACAGTAAAATGGACAAGCCTCAGTAATATTTCATGAACAAACTGAGGAAAGGCATGATAATAAAGAAAGGCATTGCCTGTGCCTCCTGCTCCTTTGGCTTAGTCAGGGACCCTTCTTCTCCTGTCTTTCATGGGAAAACTGGAGAGAAGTGACCGCAAGCTGTACTGCTCAGCTCTCCCAAGGCTTCCCTGCAACCACAGGAGAGGCAGCCAAAGCAAAGAGCTTTGTCCACAGGCTCCTCACTGTTCCTGCACCAGCACATGGAAAAGACAAGCACCTCATGTGCGCACACTGGACCCAGGCACAGTGACCCCTCTGTAATGGCACTGCAGAGACCAGCTCCCTTTTGGACCCATTTCTAGAGACTAGCCATGGCTGCTTGGTGCTTATCCAACGTCTGGTCCAGCGAACAGTTACCTTCCTAATGCCTATTGATATTCTTAATATCTGATCAGTATCTATTATAGCCTTTCACAATTGGGTGGAGGTTGATTTGATGCACAACTGGTTCATCCTGACCTACCAGGAGAGAGGTTTCTAAAACATAATGCCAGTGAAAGGCACTTTGAATGGCTGTCTTGCAAGGACATAAGCTATGAAAACCATAGCTTTCAAATCAAGCCTGCTGTTGTCAGGCTCCTAATGCAAGAGGAACATCTTGCACAACTCTGCACATGAAAACTCACCCAGAATGTCTAGGGACAGGGAAGTGTGCAAATAGGAACTCATCACAGACCACTGAAAAGCTTTATTTTAGGTCAATGACAGCAATTTTCAAATATTTTCATCAAAGCTGTAAGGAAATTATGCTCCTGCAGTATACAGTGCACTACCAAACAGGTACTAAGCTGTAGCAAGTTGATGACTTACCCAAAGGAACACAGCAGCCCTAAAATACAGCTGATCTACAAGAACACAAGATCTTGAACCTGAGGAAAAGACAGAAAAATATCTCCAGCACAAATGGTGGTGTCCACATGGTCAAAACAAAGCATAACCAGAGAAGGACCCACATAAGCGGATTTACAAGTGTGAGGATCCGTTAGATCCTCGGCGAGGTCAGCTGTGAGAGGAGTGGTTCTCCATGGCACTACCAAACTGAGGAATAACCAACATCTACTGGGCATCACCAAGCTCTTCCATGTAGAATGGTAACTCCGCACACTCAAGGCACTGAGGACAGACATGCGCTCAAGAAGATATCAGATATGCAAGAGTTTGAAGCTAGGCTAATGGTTATTTGGGGCTTTCTACAGCTGGTAAGTATCTCTGATAAGTATGGGAAAAGGCAAGGACATAAAGCGATAACAAAAATTATGCCGTTCTCAACTCACCACGGAGAGATAGTCAGCTCAGATCTAACAAAACATTTAGGCTCCAAACCCACAGATACTAAAAATCCTCAGCTATAGCTTTCTTCTGTTGCAAGGATCCCTAGCACCTAGATCCATCATGCTTCCATTTCAAAAGCAGTCAGGTCTTGCCTAACCTGCAAGGCGTTTTCAGAAACTACAGCTCCAGTGAAGCTCCCAGTTTCCAGACTAGATGTATCCATGCTCAACTGACTTCCTTTTGCTCCTAGGTCTTTGCACCCTTTTCAGAGCCTGGCTCAATTTAAGTGAATCTTAGATAGGGAGAGGAGGGTCTTGCTCATATCATACGCTTTCATCATGCAGCTTTAATGACTTTCCTACTCATCAACTCTGCTAGGCAACACATTGGCCAGAAGAGAGAGGTGGAGGTGGGAAAGGTGATCTAATCTAATGGGAAAAGACTAAGAAAATTGTCTTGTTCACAGTAAGCAATTGAAGGCTCAGAAGAGAACGGCCTGCTGTCAATACAGCAGTGCTAGAGAGAGAGAAGAGTTGCTTAAGTTAAAGATCACAATTGACTTCTAAATATGAAAGCAGTGATTTCAGGATGAAATAAGAGGACTGGATTCTGAAATGGAAGCAATCCCCACTGGAACCTGCTGGCACAAATAGCTCCACTGGAACAGACTGGAACAAGGTCCCAAAGGGCCAAGTGTTGGGACTGCTCAGTGCCAAGGACCACATCAGCCACCCAGTCTTCAGAAGGAGAACAGTACTGAAGGGAACTCAGCTAGTGCATGCAGTTACTACTCAGTTAAATAGAGGCATTAACACTGATATTAAAAACTTTAGAGGGATTCCAGGGTAAATCTATTAAAGACAGGTCATCAGGACTGAGGAAACTGTATTTATCATGCTCCGGCTGCAGCTCCATGATGAATCCATGCATCACTCAGTTTTACAAGGCACACATTAGCTTTGGATACCTACTTATGAGCAAAGACATAGCTGGAAATTTCCGTAATGACAGGTGTCCCGGTTTCAGCTGGGATAGAGTTAACTGTCTTCCTAGTAGCAGGTACAGTGCTGTGTTTTGAGTTCAGTATGCGAAGAATGTTGATATCACTGATGTTTTCAGTTGTTGCTAAGTAGTGTTTAGTCTAAAGTCAAGGATTTTTCAGCTTCTCATGCCCAGCCAGCGAGAAAGCTGGAGGGGCACAAGAAGTTGGCACAGGACGCAGCCAGGGCAGCTGACCCAGACTGACCAACAGTGTATTCCATACCATGGGACGTCCCATCTAGTGTAGGAACTGGGGAGTGGGGGTGGGGAATCGCGGCTCGGGGACTGGCTGGGTGTTGGTCGGTGGGTGGTGAGCAATTGCCCTGCGCATCATTGGTACATTCCAATCCTTTTATTACTACCGTTGTCATTTTATTAGTGTTATCATTATCATTATTAGTTTCTTCTTTTCTGTTCTATTAAACCGTTCTTATCTCAACCCAGGAGTTTTACTTCTTTTCCCGATTTTCTCCCCCATCCCACTGGGTGGGGGGGGAGTGAGTGAGCGGCTGCGTGGTGCTTAGTTGCTGGCTGGGGTTAAACCACAACACAGGAGAAGAAGAGTTTCTACAAGAAAATGTGTTTTGACTCATGAATATTTCCATGGCATCCAGACAGCCCTGACAGAAATGTAATGCAATGGGCTAGAATAGCTTGTGCTATAGGACTTGCATCCATGGGGGTAGTGCACAGTACAGGCAGGGGAACTGTGGGCTGGAAAATAAAGCAGTTTATCACTGTAAAGCAGAGAAAAATTGAGGTGGGAAGGAACCTCTGGAGGTCTGCAGTCCAACCAGCTACTCAGAGCAGGGTTAACTCCAAAACCAGATCAGCTTGCTCAGGGCCTTGTCTAGGCAAGTTTGGAGAATCTCCAAGGATGGCGATTGCACTAGCTCTCTGGTCCCTGTGTCTGCATTGCACCACTATCATGGGGAATAATGTTTTTCTTTGTCTAATGGGAATTTCCCTTGTTGTAACCTGTGTCTATTACCTCTTATCCTTTCACTGTGTGGCTCTCAGAAGTGTCTGGCTTCATAGCTACTCATTAGGAAGTTGAAGACTGAAAAAACATCACGCCCTCTCCCCTTCTCCAGACTGAGCAAATCTAGCTTCCTCAGCCTTTCTTTGTATATCATGTCCTCCAGCCCACTGACCACCTTGGTAGGCCTCCACTCAAGTGAAGCGTAGTCATCACTGGGAGAAGATCCAGAGCAAGATGGACTCAGGATGGACATATATTCTCAGAGCTGAAACAGCTTGGGAAGGCTGCAGGTGGGAAAGAAAGTGAATGAGAGGCTCCAGCAGAGCTGGCAGGGAGAGCTGCATTTCTGAAATCAGCAGCAGAGGCTGAGGAGGGCAAACAATCCTGCCCCAGCTGCTGCAGGCTGTGTTCCCCATCTCAGTGGCTCCACCAGCCAGGGTGGGCACGCTCCAAGCAGTCCTATTGCAACAGCCCCCATCCTGCCGTACATGCATTTCATGGGTTTGATTAAGCAGTTTGATCAAGTTGATAAGCTAAACTGAATTTTCCAAATTTCAGCCTTGTGCTTGGCTAAAATTAGAAAAATAGATCCTCTGTGCTTAGTGCACACAGAAAGATCGTGGGTGATTTTTTGATCCAGTCATTTCCTCTCCCTTAAGTTAATTGCTGAAGTCAAAAGGTAAGGAATGAGACCTCCTCTGTCCCCAAGGGGCTGAACAGAGGCTGGAGGTACAGGTGTTAGATAACTAATACTAGAAAACTAAAACTAGAGAGATTGAGACATCCCCCATGTAGTCAGGTATCTCACACCCATCAAACCTGTTGACTCCTTTGTAGCTCTCAGCACCAGGAACTTACCCAAGAAACAGTGGGCTTCAACCCACTGTAGGGCATGTTTGCATGCTTTCTGCCTCCATAACGTGTCCAGGCTTATGTTTATCGGCCTACACACCCAGGGTGTTACGCAGCACCAGCATTGCCCCTCTACCCTGGCCAAGTGCTGGCAGAAGTCGGTATCTATGCCCCTTCTTTTTCTCCAAGGATCTCACAGAGATTCTTGCCACTTTGGGGGTGATAAGGAGGAGATTATTGTCAAGCATTTGTTGGAACTACGTCCTGCTGTGGCCCTTTCCCTGAGGAATGTTTCATAGTGTCACGTGACACAGGAGCACTGATCAGAGACTTCGGCAAGAAATAACTTCTTTCATTAGAAACACACAGGTTCTTGAATTGACTTTGTCCAATATTCCCATACAAAACCTACTACCATCCTCCACTCACCTGTGGGTACTCCACCTTTTACGAAGTACAGGAACATTTTGGCCTCACCTCAAAATTGCAATTTATTGATCGATAACAGTAACATAGCAGACTACAGAGGAAGGAGAAAGCGGTTTTGATCCCTTTCAAGAAAAGATATTGAGGGGACAACATTGGAGTAAAACTAGATTAGCTTTTACTTTCTTGTACATTAAGACTGTTCTTATCTTTGCCAGGACACATCCCATCAGCTTCACGGCCCAGGGGTAAGTCACTCTGGCTCATGGCAGGCTGCAGGAATAACTTGTCACAGATTTCTGTCACACTAGATGATACCTCAGGCATTCTGGACTAAGGGCAAAAAACAATGAGAAAACAGCTTTCTTCCATGTGCACAATTTCTTCATTCCATATTCAAGCAAAACCTGAAACAGGGCATTTTAAACAAGTCTATTTGGGGTGCATGACAGGTATTTCTGCTTCACTCAAAGGTACCGTGAAATCAGTAGATTTTCTCTGGAAACTGAAGGACGTGCTTTTTTTAAACAACAACAAAAAAATGGAGAGCAAGAATAAGCAGTCATTCCAGTGCCCCAATCTCTTTCTATGTAGGTTGGAAACTTTGAAAGGAGGGTCCAAAACATGTTTTTGACAGTAAAGCTTACTGAAACACAGAGTACGTGAAAATGCCGAAGCCAGCAGCTGGTTTGATTGGGAGTCAGCGTCTGGATAACTCATTTTGCTTTGCTTTGTGATATTGAGTGATTTGCACAGATATGGGACCTCTTTTCATGAAGTTCTTTTATTGCTGGACTCCATCTCACAGAAAAGGCTTCATGCAAACTAAATTGAGCAAATGACAGCAACCATATCCAAACATTTCAGGCAGTAAAAGCATAAACACAGTAAAAAATAATAATCCACCTCAGCAGCTTCCCAAATCTGGACTTCTGGGGAATCCTCAATGTTCAGCATTAAAAGTCACCAGATGCTTCTTCTACAGGACATAAAAAGCAATGTGTTAACAAAAGAGAAAAGGACATACCACAGCTCCCTGTTATCTTGTGTGATTTATTTCCCCAGGTTAACCTGGAACAGAGGGATCGATAACTTTGGTATTAGTCCTGATTGCTCTAAAGACCTCTGGGGATCCCTCCTTGACTACAGGATCCTACAGGTCTCACTTTTTCTGGCACCTTGAAGATGGCATTTATGGTTGTGCCCTGCCATACTTTCAAGCTGATAATCCCACAGCCCTGCAGAGAATATAATGAACCATCCTCACAGAAAGTGGGAGTTGACTGCAGATGGAGTTGTCTGAGCTCTTTATTGATTGCCGTTAGCTACAGAGGTTTGCTGCTTCTCACAGCCTGGATATCATCATGACAGCATGGCAGGGCCTGACTGTCAGAGCAAAGGAAATGCGATGCTTTGTTACGAAAAGGCATGGCCCTAAGGCACTGAAGCAGCCTACCTTTCCCAGGGGAGAGCCATTCTTTCCTACATCTACTTCTCAGGGATTTCAGAGAGCGTTTAGGAAGAAAGCATTAAACCTCAAGAATTTTACAAATCCTGAAGGCAGCTGAGGGAAATACTATAAATATAGGCAAAAACTTTCCTAGAGACATCAAACACCACAATCTCTTCCATAAAGTGGGAATCTCTATCCAAGTGCAGAGCCACTTTTGGCCTGACCAGGATGTGCTGACAGCCTGCTCAGAGCTGTGCAAAAGACAGACCAAGCACCTAGACAGAAAGACCAGCCTCCCCAATCCAGGCTTCACCTCCCTTGTAGAAAAGCATGGGCATCAACAGTGAAGAGCTAAACTGGAAAGTCTGTTAATCAGAAAAATCCCAGAGCAGTGCACTTAGCTTGATCTTGCAATCCTGATGCTGGAAAATCTGTGTGCTGGAGGAGCTACTCACAGTGGGCCTGAAGAAATGGAGTATCTAAATGTGTGCTAGATATGTACCTGGCACATATGTTCAGACCTGGGTTAGGCAGCTCTGCTTTAGAGCCTCAGGGTCTGGTTATCTCACATGTTCGCAGGCAGGAACTATCTGCTGTTTGAACCTTATACCTTGCTCTGTAACTTCCTCAGTCTTCTTCGACTTCCAGGCTCTGAGGTCCAGCTTTGGGATCTGGCTGCAGCTCACAAAGCCACAAGGGTATCTGTTAGCCTGGAAGATATGTCTTGGTACTTTAGAGATGTGGGTGTTGTCACATATTATTCGTGACAAGGAGATTTTGTCCAGTGAAGAGCGCTGCCGAGGAGTGAAAACCCCTCTGCTCTCCCACCAAAACCTGCAGGAGAAAGAAGACAGCACAACAGATTTTTGCCTTCTGCCTTCTTCACATTCAAGACCCCTGCAACATTATTTCCCATTAACACCAATAACACATTTCTTTCGCCAAGAACAAATTTAAATTTCTGTTATTTAAATCAAGAGCCCTGACTTACCAGCTGGATAATTTAACTTGCTTTTCTGACATGGACATATAATAAAGATGCAATTGAATTAAAGCCTTGCGCTGTGTTCCCTCAAATGAGGCAAAGGCACCCTCTTTCAAACAGAAAACTCTGCACATACTGTACACAGACTGGTTATATCCACATGATTGCCATGCTGGAACCAGCCCTATAATTACTCTCCTTAAAAAAAAAGGGTTCTTGTATCCTACCATAAGAATAGGATTTCTAGATGTGCAGTAGACTGTTTGCCTTTAAGCTCCCAATACTGGGTTTTGAGCTCATAGTAAGTCTTTCTGGCCAGAGAAGTTTCCCAGAAACACTGCTCATGATCCCATTTTTCAGGCAATATTGCTAGCAAGTACAGGGACATTGCTTCAGAAATGCAGCTTAAAATGGGGTATATAACTCACTTTTGCAGCTGATGTCCCTAAGCAACTTCAAGAAGAAGGAGGACTTTAGGTATGTTGAGAGCACAACATGGCTTGAATGATTTTGACTGGCAAGCAAACCCCAACCCACCCATATCCTGGTGCAAGTGAAGATCAAACACTGCTACATGTCAGACCACAGGGTTCCGACTCAGAACCAGGGTGGAAAGGAGAAATAGTGAAAAATCATCTCTAAGACCCCTGAGAAGTGTGTAAGACACTGCAACAGTGCAAAGCTGTGTATTGCAAACTCAGGAGATGGAAGGTGGACAGATGTTTGACATTTGCAGGGCACAGCAGCCCAGAAGGAGCAGTCCCACAGAGAGGGGACAGGGATGCTGCTAGTGCCAGGGAAGGAGCTTGGGCTGAGCTGGGACTTAACCAAGAGAGAACAATTCATCTCTTTTATTCCCTACAGAGTCTGAAAGTGTGTTAGTCCTTCAGCAACATCCCTTGGTCTGCAGGCAAATTTTCAAAACTACCGAAAGCATGAGCCACCACATCAATGGATGCTGAGCATCTACTGTCAGTGCAAGCCATTTAGGCTGATTAAACCTGACAGCTTTTTTTCTAATTGGTGAAGTCAACCCATCTAGATCCTCGTTTTCCCACCTTTAGAGCTGTACCTGTTTTTCTTGTTAAGGTATTTAGATGTTTCCCTTTGCTGGAGTGAGCAGCTGTTTGAACACATGGTAACATGGGACTCCTTGAAACCACTTATCTGAAGGAGGAAAAGAGCTCAACCATTCACATGGGGTGTGAACCATCAGCACAGAGAAGGGCAATCCAATTTGCACAAGTAGTGATTGGCAGCGAACAGGCTGAGAGTGAAAACACTTGGCTGGGAAGCGATCTTAACCTAGGATCTCAACCATCATCTAGGCAGGGAATAAGAACATCACCAGAAAGGGAAAGAAACATTTGGTGGAGTAATGAAAAAAAAGCAACAAACAACTTGAACAGTTTCCAAATCTGCATAAAGAAATCCGCATAAACTCCATTCTCCCTCTGTCCTTTGACGTTTGAATACCCAGCTCCTCTCTTACCTGTCCCCATCACGAATGTTCCTGAACTGGGTGCCAATAAGGCAAGCCATGAGAGGCCCAACTCTGCCTCCATTCACAAAGGGCTCTGCAAGTGCCCCAATCCAAATATCAATATTCTTTGGTGTCCCATACAGCTCTATGAACTTCTTTGCCAAACCATGATTCCTCAACACTCGAGCAAGTGTCTTCAATCCGGAAGGTTGTGAGAGCCCACAGAATTGTCTCCAGGAGTTATAGCCTGCAAGTAGTTGGGTATCAGAGCAGACAGATCAGTAGTGTGTTTCCCTCTCCTGGAAAGATTTTTTTCCTCTCTTTCCCAGAACTGGGGCACAGGTAGGGCCCCAATATGTTTAAAATATTTTTCTCAATTTTTCTATATTTCTGCTAATGCCATCAATTTTCCACTCCTCCAGAGCCAGTTCATCCTGCCTGGCATGTCAATGCTGTTTGTGGACAAGCCATGTCTTTGCAGGTGATCTCTGCTAGTGGGAGCTGCTCCACCACCTTCCAGTACCATTTTGCTGTTCCACTCAGTGGCAATGCAGGTGCCTGTGCACAGGCTCCAGAGCCATGGTGTGTCTCAAACAACCTCCTGGTGATGTGACCAAGGAACTACAGGAGACCCACAGCCTGCTGAAGCTGCAGCAGAAACTCAGAGGAGCAATCCCAGCGCATTTCAAATTGCAAAGGAGACCTGTGTTCACGTACCTGATCCTGCATGTGCTGGGACTGCTCCTAACCTTGTGCTCTGGGTGGTCAGATGAAGGGTCTAGGCATGCCTAATGGCTGCCTCATCTTCACTGTGACCCAGGAACACTGGGAGCTCAGAGACCATACAGTCTCAGATACCTTCAGACAGAGCCACAGGAGACAGGTCCTCACAAAACTCGTTGATGTTGCCTTCATTGAAAGTGAATCTGGACAAGATGTTGATGCTACCTCTTTCTGTACAACAGGATAGTGCCCAGGTACCTCCCCACAGCTGGTCTCACTTGTGTCCCTGTCTAGCCACAGGGACAAGCCATCCCACACTGCGAAGAAAGCTCTACATAGCCCAAGTTACTTCAGGTGTGAGAGGGCCACCGGACTTGGCCAGCTGGACTAATTTTTCTGTGCTGCAAACAGCTGAAAATCCACTGAACCACAACTGGTGCATAATTCTGCATCTTGGTGGAGAAGGCATGTACCCAGCAAAGGGCAATTTGCAACTCACTGTCTTATCAAATGACCACTTAAGTAGAGGAAAAGTCTATGGGGCACTAATGTGTTCTTCTACCTGCCAACTTAGTGAACTGTTAGGTGCAGAGATGAGATGATGCTGCAGCAACATACATCTCTGCTGTGAGCAGGATGTCTGAAAACTGGGGAGAATTCAGAGAAAAAAGATACAGTATATGGTGCCTGGATGACACCACTATCAAACAATCCAAGGAGACTGAGAATTTGCTTTATCAGAAAAAGAATTAGGAAGCTTTTTCAATCTTGCTATACTGTCATCACCTTCACAGGTTGTCTAATATCAAGGAGTACAGTAGCACTCAGGGGTGGGCTGAGACCCAAAGGCTAGGAGCTAAACACAAATTCATACTAGAAATACATGTCAGTTCCACTGCAGCAGATCAGCAGTCAAAGCTATAAATTCAGGATTTGTGGTTCAGATCAGGTTCTGCACAATAGTGTTCCTAAATAAAGCATGGAAAAATGGCAACCTTCTGTTGCAGCAAAGGCAGAGCAATCCTGTGACCTGACCATGCACCTGGATATATTGCAAAGCCTCTGTCTGGGCTTAAAACCTGTGAATCCGGCATGCTTTTCATCACAGTTTCAAAGTGAGCCCTGTTGCATCTCCCAGGACGTCACTGACACAGCAGCTCCAGGCACTACATCATCCTTATAACACTGTTAGGCAACAACACATCCATGAGCCAGTTGTAAAGTCCTATCAACAGTCTATTTCTCAAGACCATCTTGCAATGCCATTACACTGTTTTTTTGCATCTTGCAGAGCCCTGAAAGTGGTTCTGACATGCTTTTTTTTTTTCTGGGACACAGTCTTTATAGAATTATGGTGAGATTTTCCTCACACATTGCAATCTGCCTTTCCAGTCATGTGTGGCTGGGCTGGACCACTATAGATGCTTGGAGAGAAGCCACGGGGGACTTCTGGCCCTAATTCCTGCAAACTTGTTGCTGAACTACTTTCCCAATTCTCTCATTTGAACAACAATACAAGTAAGTCAGTTACTGAGCACTTGACTCTGCTCTGTGCAATGCCCCATGTTCTTCTAGCCGTGTGCCATGTGTCTCCTCCAGCTCCAGCCAGGCTCTGACATCATTGCTCAACCTCCTACCTATTTATCTATGGTTGTACAGAAATGATGAAACGGTTTGGGAAAGGGTAATTTCAGCCAAACATGGGCTGGAGATGCTTCTCAATGTTCAATCACAAGAGTGCCTGATTTCCACTTGTTTTTCTTTGGAAGCTCTGCTCCCACAGCCAACTTACCTGGGAGGCCATGATCTCTGCTACGCTGCATGTTAAGTGCAGCTAAATCAAACCCAATCCTTTCGACATGCTCAAACATCCGATCCCGGAGCTCATCCACAAGCATTTGCTGCTGTGTCATCAGCTTGGCCTGATTAGCCATCAGGCTCCGGAGAAAGGGGTCAATACCACCTGCAACAGTTACACAGGGACTTGTGAGCAGTGCAGGGTGGCAAGTGTGTGCATAAGAGGCTCAGGAGAGCTGAACGCAGCTTATATTTAATTATAAGCTTCTACTACAAGAGAATCAATTTTCCTGCACTTAAAGAATTAAAAAGAAAATACTTCGAATAACATTCTTGGAGTGTACAGCAATTAAGCAATCAAATTGCATGCTTCATAATAAGATGGGCTGCATTTGACTGCAAAGAACAGCTATGTTGGGAAAAATTCTGTCTGGTAGTAAAGGTCATTTAATACATTTAATGCAAACTGCTTTTAAGTTTGGCTGAAGCAGGAGCTCATCCAGAGAGGGCAGAAAAGGCCAAATGAAATAAACTTACACTGCAGAGATGCAAGAAAGGCTTTACCTTCTTTAACAATCCTCCAGACAGCAAAGAAGGCATTTCTGAGTTGAATTTTGGGACCTATGGACTTGTAATTTTGATCTAAGCGGTCAACAGTTGGGGGAACTGAAGCATGAGCAAAACGAAAAGCCAGGGTGAAGACATTGGATATTCGAGGATCCACAGACTCATTGTAGCCCCGGTAGCGAGGAATCAATCTCCGGAAACTGGTTCCCAACAGAAGAGGCAGGTAGTCCCTGTAGGTTATAATCTACCAGGGAGAAACAAGGAAAGTGTCTATCATTAATCACTTGGCCATCAGTTTCTTTGGGCAAAGTTATTGTTCGTGTCTCAAACTAAAGGAGCTGTCACACTGGACTTCTTTGATGGGATTTATGTAGGAGATTTTGCTAGCACAGATGTGAAGCAGAGAGACTCCCCAGGGCCAACCGTTCTTTCACCTCATCAAACCTTCACCAAGCTGCTCTGGCAGTCTGGTGAGGATCCTTTCTGGCACTGTCAAGTGACATTTCTGTTTCTTTGGCTCTGTAGCTTGGTTCAAAGCCTCTTCTGCACCTGGCCACTGTACCATGCCACAGGTGGTGCAGCTCCAGGCATAGAACCAGGCACTGCAGGCCATTGCCTGGGCTCCTAGTTTCTCCAGCTGTGCATGGTGGGATCTCTACACTCTCTAGCAGTAATGAGATGTGCATGAACATGCAGTGATTTGCATGAAAATGCAAAGTGGACCTAACTGCTCCAGAAACATCAGGAAGCACAGACACTGCTCATGCCTGACCCACGCTCATTCTCTGCCTGTGCACTGGGATCTTCTGCCCTTTGGTGCTGAGGACTTGGCACTCAGGTGTCCCCAGACATGCTCCTCCCTGCCTCAACATGCTGGCAGGTCAGAGCAAGATGAAAGTCTGCCAAATCCTCCCAGATATTCCCTCCTTGTCCTATAGGTAGAGGCCGTTCCCATCAGCCAGGTAGAACTGCATTTCTTCCTCCCTCCCACCCTAAATGCTTCAGATGATGAAGAAAAACTCAACAGTGTTGGCACAGATTATATCAATACCCACAGGCAGCTGTGTTAGTCCTCCCATAGTAGAGATTTGCAACCCTGGTCTTATGTCTCCTTGAGATATTGAAGAGGCTGCGCAATATAATTTAAAAAATCAAATTCTGTGTCAGTAGGTGAAAATGCCTTAATTGTCTGAAAATTGCAAGAAGATCAAACCATTGATCTAAACATGATGATGGAGACAATGCTTTTAGTACAATTGTTTGAGTCTCTCCACATGGGCTTACCCAACATGTTTATTCAACCATACTATAATATTTAAATTGACAGTTTTTAAAACTTAAACCTTTTGATATTCCTGCTTTTTGTTTGTTTGTTGAGCCAACTAAGAAGACAGGTTTCCAATTAGGTACGACTAAGCACTGCCTTTGGAAACTCCATGTCTTTTTCTCTCATAGGAGCTGGACTTTTCTGTTGGCTGTGAAACCTCATCTGGCTTTGAAGCTGGTTCTACTCCAAACTGTAGGCTTGACAGGAGACCTTGAGAGGTCCCTTCCAAGCACAGAAATATTTCTGTGACCATAGGATCTCATTCAGGGTGAAGTCTGTGGTGCAGCACAGTCCTGAGGGGCTCTTTGCCCCAAAGCAGAAAGGACAGAGGAATGCCATGGCTGGTTGCACCCACTGTTGCAGCACACGGGGCTTCTTGAGAGGAGGAGACTCACAACCCAGAGGAATTTTAATCCAAATCTCCAGTACCATTTTTATCGTGTACCAAACACTGGTTAGAAAAACTTTTCCTCTGACTTTTCTGTCCCCATGTTTCTCAAACAAAAATGTGCAGTTAAAAACCCATCAAGCAATTTGGAAATTAAACAGTAGAGGGACATCAAAGATTCAGGGGGCCCCCTCTGTGCTTGTTATTTCAGGTATCACCATGTGATTTTGCTTTGGACAAAAGGGACTGGTGGAAAGAATTTGGTCACTTGCACCCCAGAATACTGCACCCTTTGGACACCCCACACTGACACAGCCCATCACGTCAATTCTGTGAGACTGCAAGACAAGGCAGCAGACCCAGGACATACGACATTGTAGCTGGTACCTGGATCATGGCACCCAGGATCTTTCGTGCCTCCTGGTAGAGCTTTTCTCCATTCCAGTGGGGATTTAGTCTCTTCAGCTCTCTAGCCAGGCGGTTGTGCTCCCGCAAAAAGAGTGTGTGCATGCATGCCAGCTCCAGCATCTCGTTTGCTCGAGAATCACCTAGGAGTATCACAAGTGAGCAGACTTGTATTGCCAGTGACCCGCGTGTGCTTGGCTGCTTCCCACTGGAAGGAGGCGAAAGTCACATTGGGAAGCATGCACAGAGAAATTATTACATGTCTCAATATCTGCATTGTGAAGAAGATGGGTAAGAAACACACAGAGGAGAAGGAAACCAGGGTTTGGGTCCCGAGGCTTGGAGAGCACCAGTGAAAAGCCAAATTTCTGCTTGGCAGCAACAGCCAAGATGCCACCATGGTTGCACTTAGCATCACAGAGAGATGGGGAAGTTGGTTTTTTTTAAATAAGGGCTAGGAGCATTAACTTAAGAAGCTAAATACAAGTAGGTGTTCTCCAGACTCCCATATAAGAAAGACATTCTCACAGCTCAAGTGAAGAAATGAAAATGGGCAGAGGGAAGTCAGGATGGCCAAGGGAGCTCTGAAAGTCAGAAGGCATCCTTCAAACCAGTTGAAACTACGGCCAAAGCAAGATGACAGTCACAATCAAGCTCTCTGGTGGGTAAAAGTAAAAGCAAAATGAGTCACAACTTGAAGGAATAAATTACAAAGAGCATCACAATGAAATATTAAATCCTTCTTCAAACATCTAGTGCAGGAAGCCCAAGAGCAAGCAGGTGATGAGAGTATAAAGAGGCACTCAGAGAAAAGTAACTATGTCGTATTTAGTCCCCTAGTCCCATAGTAAATAGAGGGATTTGCTCTTGCATTCAGCACAGAGCCCTTTTCATTTACTGTCAAAGGCTGTCTGTAAAAGACTGCGGAAGAAGGAACAAAAGAAGCACTGTGAGGTTTCCTCAAGCAGAAGGCATCCCCCCAGGGCTTCCAACAGAGCTCCAGTAGGAAATCACTGAACCCTATTAGGCAACTGCACACATAAAATTTCCCCAGTTCTCAGGGACCGGAAAAGTCACAAATAAGACGCTGAATTTTCAAAGGAGCTTCCGAGCCAGCCTGAAATGCTCACTATAAATTCATTGATGGCTATGTACCCAGCTATGGAACAGCAACTGCTCCAGCAGCCCCTAGCTGTGGACTCCTGGGGGCTGAGAGCCCACCCTGGGAAGCATCCAATACGCCTGCCCGTTCTGCTTCTCACTGGGCATCTGCCTTTGGCCACAGGTCCTGCATGGTCCTCACCAGGGAGAGACCTGCATGGAACTGGGGAAGAAGCTAAAGACAGGGAACAAGAGATGGGACAGATGGAGAGGTATAAGAGGCTGAAGGAAACATAAAATACCAAGCGCTTAAAAGGAGGGCACTGGAGGATGACACCAAGCAGAGCTCTCACACCAGTCCCACCACCAGGTCCTGATGGTATCCAAGGACCATGGGGATGTTGTCCAGAGGAGTTTGGGCCAGATATGTAGGGGGCCAAGGGATAGAAATCAGCTCCACAGCTGATGAGATCTGTTGTGCCCTCAAGCTTTCTCTGGCAGTGCCATGAGCAGCCTATTGTGGTCAGAGCCAGCAGAGTTAGCCAGGAGGTCTTAGTCGCCAAAAGGCAAGAACCAGCGAGTGAAACAGTAATTCACAAGGCGTATCAGAAACATCCCTCTCTGGGGTGCTGCAGGCTTGTGGCGACACCTTGGTCCTCACCAAGATGAGCTCAGGTGTTCCTATCTCATGTTGGAGTCTAGTGTCCATATCTACATTGTGGACTGTTGTCATCCAGAACTTGTGACCCTGCCTGCATTCTCAAATGCATGTTGGGCAAATACTCAGTGATGCTCCATCCCTTTGCGGTTTTCCTTGAAAAGATATACAGGTAGATGGGAGAGCCAGAGCTGCAGTACATCTTCAAAGGCAGGAGAGCAGGACGGACATGTAACAATGCAAGGGCAGGGAGAAGGGACCAATGCTCAGGGCTCCAGGTCAGTTATTTTGTCTCTGTGTGCTGGGGACAGGAGAAGACAGCAAATGGCAGCAGATAAGAAGGTTGCAGTGGCTGTGCAGTGTTTTGGCTGGAGGGGAGGTGTGGCTTTGGGAGGCTGTGCCCAGGACAAAAGGAGGTATTTTGGGTTGAAGAAGTGGTCAAGAGGATACCAAAAGCATGAATAAGGATAAATGGAGCAGGAGGCTGTCTTAGTGGACCGAACGCCTATGCTGATGTCCTGGCCGGTGTGCTGCCAGTGCACCCCCAGCCTTCTCAGTGGTGGGGACACATCTTAAAAGGTCACCTTGGTCTGTGGCTAGCCTCATTCTCAGTCCAGCTGGGATCTAAGCTCCTCTCACAGTGCAGCAGATGCACTCATGTGCAGCAGCATGGGCAAATGTTTCATGAAGGTGACCCAGCCCAGTACCAACACACTTGTACCTATCCTGATGCAATAGAGACAGCCTCCAAATGGCAAGTATGGACAAGCCATTGCCTTCTGGCCAGTCTGCTATTGCTGCATTTGCTTGGCTCCATCATGGCACTGGTTCCCAGGTCACCTCCAGCAGCCCCATGTGCTCTCTGGGCCCTACACCAGAGCTGCTGAGAACAGATGGGGCAGCTTCACCCCAGGCATATAGTCACAAAGAAGACTTGGAGATGGTGAAGACCTTTCTCCTACCTAGCACAGCCTGTTTCAGTCTTTCATGATGTTTTTCTATGCTCCATTTTTTACTTAAATAAGAAAAACAAACAATTAAAAAAAATGAACTAGAGCTGGTGGAATTGCTTGCTCCGGATTTCAGGGTTAGGGGTGCCAGCACCCAACTTACCTGCAAGAAAGCAAGGGATTTTAGCTCCTCTGCTGACTGTAAGACAGGGGCTCTTCTGCATGTTGTTAAAGGGCATATATGCCTTCCCCTTATCAGTGAAATTCTGGTTAACAGCCAGCAAGCCCAGCTGGTTGGTTTGATCCCTCAGTTTGTTGGCCAAAGGCACTTCACTGCCGTACACCATGCTGCCATCAAGAAAGGAGGTGAGCGCGTTGATCTGATCTCGAATTGCTCTGCCGCTGGTACAAGCAGGAGCTGAGCGGAAGAAAGGAAGGCAATCTCTCGTGTTTTTAATTCGTGGGTCATTGGGTGGGATCTGCAGAAAGATAGAAGATTAATTCATCACTAGTTCAGGGGTGCAGAAACTGCACTGTGATACTACAGCCATAAGAAATGCCAGGCAGGAGCCATTTCAAAGACAGTCCCCATGCTAGATAGTGCGGAGATCAGTCATAAATCCCAGATATAAAGGGTCAGATTGACAGCAGAGACGCCATTTTAGGAGTCCAAGTCCCAAATATGCATAAAAGCCTGGAGATATCTAAATTTCCATACAGTCTTATGGATACCTAAACTTTTTTCCCTGATATATACATGTTAGATTGAATCTTTAAAGCTCAGGTGTTCCTATCTCATGTTGGAGTCTAGTGTCCATATCTACATTGTGGACTGTTGTCATCCAGAACTTGTGACCCTGCCTGCATTCTCAAATGCATGTTGGGCAAATACTCAGTGATGCTCCATCCCTTTGCAGTTTTCCTTGAAAAGATATACAGGTAGATGGGAGAGCCAGAGCTGCAGTACATCTTCAAAGGCAGGAGAGCAGGACGGACATGTAATAATTAAGCATTTACTGGAGTGGAGACTGCAATGTGACTATCGTGCTAATGCCTTAGCCACTATTGAGAGATGCTCATCACTTCCTAGCCCCCTGCACTACTGAGCATTTAACCATCAAATGGGTATGGATTTGCTGTGGTATTGACAGCCATCATCTCCTGTCTTTGACACATTTACTATAATCCAGGCTTCACCCATGTTGCCTTTGCACCATACCTCCAAAGCAAAGCCATATCATTGAGGGAGATGGGTAAATGGTTGGAAATGGGGGAAAGACAAGCTGTGACTGTGCCTGACGTCTGGGGACAGCCCCTGGGACCCAGCACCGTCACCTTACAGAGAGCAGTCTGACCCCTTGGCCTGCTCTGGGAGGATGTCCCTCCATGGCCAAGGACTGAGACAGCCACCAACATCTCCTGGTTGGAAGGTAGATACCCTCTCCCTCTCTTTTCTGCAAGAAGAAGGCTGGCTGTACCTTGATGGGAAAGCAGGGGGGCTGCTTGGCACAGCTGGTGTCACAGTCCACCTTGCCACTGAAGGTGACTCTGGCTGGGGTGTCTGGACTGAAATCCAGGTCATGGTCAATAAACTGGCCCCACTGCATGAACATGAGTGATCTCTGCTGGTCCATCCTGAGCTGCTCGGGGGGGAAGCGGACAATCTCGTTTGACACTTTTCGAACCTGCAGGGGATGAAGGCAGAACATGTGTGACTTGTATGCATGGGTGCATCAGTTCGTAGGGTCATGAGCAAAAATTCACAAGGTGTTCCATAGACTTCACAGAAAAAAACAAAATCTCTGTCTGAGTTGGAAGGCATTACTGAGTGCCCCCTGAGCACTGCATTATTCTGGCTCTAGCCAGGTTTCTGAGCCTCTAGACCAAGAGTATCCCTTGATGGACATATGGAAGCAGCTAAGCAAGAGCCATACTGAATAGCCTGGGAAAGGGAGGCAAAAGATTTTAAAATACCACTTTGAAATAGAAGTGTGGAAAAAAAATAGGTTTTGGAAATTTCTGAAAGTTATCTCAGTAAACTCCTTCTAGCAGGACACACTCCCAAAGCCCTCTTCCCTTCTCATCCCTTCCCATCCCTTCCCCATCTATCACAATTCCGCCACCAGTTCTTCCTTCATGTATTACTACAAAAAAAGTGGTCAAAACTCTGCTCAAGCCCTGACACTGTGCTGTAAAGCAGGGTTAGGAAGTACAATGAAAGCATGAGCATAAGGTACACAACCAGAAAATCACAGAGCTCCTCATTAGTGCTGTTGTTGCACCAAGCCCAAGTGACCAGAAACCACATCACAGTGTCCTTGCTCCTGTCCAGGCACCATGAGAGCCACATGCACCCCCACAGATCACCCCACCCATGGACCTACACACAGAATTTCTAGCTGGATATTTTTTATTCTGGGGATTCACTTGTTCATTTTATCCTCTGGCATATTGCTTTTCAGGAGACAACCGGCTTCCACAAATCAAATCAAAAAAGGTGAGTAAATTACTTTGGCTTAAATGCACTTAATTTAAAAGAAAACATTGTGTAATTCTTTCTTTATGCTGCACTTCTGCAGTAATCAGATTAATTTTCCGTTGCTGTTCCTGAAAGCATGGGAGTTAGAAAGCATTTCTGTTAGACCACCGTGGAGATTCTCCGGTGATCAACCTGAAGCTGGTGAATTTAACTTCCTCCTCATGATCACCACCATGCCAGTTGGTGGACATGCACTTTGATGCCTGTGATCTACCCAAGGACTGGCAATCCCTAAGCCCTGATACTGCATTTTCAGATGACTGTTGCAAACATTACCAGTGGAAAGGGGAATCCAGAGAAACGCTTTCCTTCTGTCCACCCGTGGGGGACTGACACGCCATCCTCATATTCTGCTGGCAACCATCTGACCAGGGCTCTGTTTGAAGCTCCTAGTGATGGGTTTCTCCTGTCAGAGTGAATGGAAGAACAACAAACTGTTAGTGTCATTAGGATCATGGCAGGGCCAAGAGCTCATGGATGTGGAGAGAGACAGGAACCTTGGAATGGGACAACACGGCGATATACAATGGTTAGGGAGCTGCCGCAGCCCTATGGGTTTGGTGCTATCAATAAGCCTCAGGTTTAATAATAACAACAATAATAATAATACACACCAAGCCTCAGCTTCTATCGGGCAAGAACTCAGGTTGCTGGTGACTCCTTGTGTCATCCAGCCTGAGGAAGGACCCTGGACCTCAGACCATGGGTGGAAAACAAAGGTGAAAGCTTAGTGTCAGAGAAAAGGGGCAGAGACTTATGCACCTTCATTTCACAGAAAGACGCAGCTTGATGACAGAGACCCTGGGCTGGAGAGTCAGTCCCCAACACAGAGCTATTTGCATGTTGATCCAAGAGCTAGTTCATGTACAGTACCAAGAACCCTCGAAGCAATACTGTAATTAAAAGCTCCACACATCTAGGAAACAACACTGCGGGCTGTAAAACCCTAAAGAAGTCATCCTACATGGATCATCCTTGGGGACGTGGGTCTAGATCTGCTGAAGAAGGACTCGTCCATCCATCCTTCTGCTGACACAGCCCCCTCACCTGTTGTTGCACTCGCCAGTGATCGTTCGGTAGCAGGAAGAAGTGCCACAATTTATTTTCTTATCCTGCTGGTCACAACCACTTGCCTTGAAAATCATCTCCAGCTGAGCCGGCGTCAGCAAGTCTGCCAGGTAACAACAGAGAACAAACATACAGGAACATACTGGCCCTGCTGGATTTGTAGTGCCTCCCAGGCTCAGGAAAAAGTTTTCCTTGTACCTTTGAAATGGTTTCTTATCACAGTACCATCTGGAAGAGGACAAGGAGCTGTCATTTAAGGTCTTCCTGCTCAAAGATCTGCTGAGGTTGCTCTCTAGAGCAGCAGATTGCTTTTTCTGGTTTGGAAAGCATTAAAGCCAACAAAGCTGTGGTCAAATCTTATTTATAATTACATGTTAGGCCTGTGCAGCAGCGGAATGATTTTCTAGCATTAGCAATACTTTTTCCTTCCTCCCCCTTCCCTTTTTATCTCCACCATAAATTGCTAACAGCTACAGTCATCCTAGTGGTGTGTTACAAGATTTTTCCCCCCTGTGAAGCAGCCACCAGTGTGTATCACCACCGTTCAGAGCTGCCTGGAGAGGAAACCATCAGGTGGCTGGGCAGCACAAGGGGATGCTGGCTTTGCATTTCCAGTGTGCAGCTTTCCCCATGCACGGGAGATAAGTTCAACCAGCAAAGCCTTCTTGGCTATTGCTGCTAGCATACCACGTCCATCCTGAGTCCCTTGGAGGTTTCCTAGTCACGGCTGCCACCAACAGTTTGGGTCACAGCATGGTTTAAGAAGCCACTGCTGCCTCTTGGGCAGGCGGATGAGAGGTGGCACCTGTGTGGTCTGGCAAGTCTCTGGAGCAGTGCTGGAGCATCACTCCTGGATGGAGGGCTGGAGACGAGCACAGCCAGCCCTGCCTCCCTCTTCCCTCTCACCCCATGCTGGAGCAATGCTGGAACACCCCATGACGGATGTCTTGGCCTGCCAGTGCTTTGCTATAATGCTGGGGATCCCCATGAGTTCATCTTTATGTGGCAGGAGCCCTCCCCGTGCCTTTCTGAGCTGTTTCTCTTACTGCCCCTAATTTGCCTCCTGCTCCCAGCAAACCGGTCTTGCCGGGAGGCCAGGACTGCCACCTCATGGAGGACATTGCTCCTTCAAGACACATGCTGAAATGTCCCTTCACATTGCTGTGTTCTCATTCTCTGTGCCTTTCTCACAGCATCCTGTTCCCGATGCAGAACAAGCTGGCAGTGACTTTGGCTATTGCTTGCTGAAATCTGGCAGAAAAACTGCTTGCTGTGGGGTTGAGCTACTGTGAGTCGCATCCTCTGTGTTTGCTCATTCCCTACTCAAGCAAAAGAATATTATCTAGCAAAGTCTTACAAGCTTTGACCCATTGGTACATTAACCACTATATTGCAGAAAGAACCGGGGAAGTGCACAAAGCACTTTCATTAACCAATAAACCCCCAAATAATTTTTTAAGATGGAAAAATAACTCAGGTTTTCCTCACTGCAGTCATGTGGGAGGGATTTGAGTCATGGCCTATCATAACACCCTTTCATTCCCTCCTCCCAAGCCCCACAAAGCCCAGTGACCAAGCCCCATATCCTCCTCCTCTGCCTTCCTCCCAGCAAAGTGAGATCCCTACCTGTGACATTGAAGTCCCCCCTCACAGCCCATTGCAGCTTCTCTTTGAGGAGGGTCAGTGTGGTTTCCATGTAATCTGCAGCCCGAACAGCAGCCCGAGTCCCTGCCACTGGCTGTTTGAAATATCCCAGAAGCTTTACTGGGGCCAATGCATCGTTCTGCAGGTGCTCCTTTATGCTGCAAGGAAGAATAAAACAAAATCTGCAGGACTGAAATGGGGCAAAGCCAAGAGTCCTGCAGGTTATCCACCGGAGCGTCGGGCACCCCAGCTCTCCTGGTGTGTTACTAGTCCGAATTGCAAACAAAGCCAGAGCCATCTCCCTCCCTGCACGGTAGCTGGAAGAGACCAGGGCTGCTCCTGCCACCCTCGGCAGAGGAGCAGAGTGAGTTGCAGGAAGGGAATATCTTAAATTGCCCAGCTCCACCTGCCAGAAGACAAATCTTAGGTCTTTACATCCTTGAGGGAACCAAACATCACTCAGCTGTTACGCAGCTTATCAATGTGTATGGGTGCCAGTCTCCATCCAGAGGTCTCAAACGTCTCCAAGTCACCCTGTCTTAATGCTGCTGGAGCCTCCTCTCAGATGGTGGGGTCCCTAAGCCGGCGAGGGGTTTCAGAGGATGGCTACTGAAGGAGGGTATGTATGGGCTGGTAGGAAGCTGTACGCTCCCAAACCATGGTGGCAAAAGCTGGGGTCTCCTGGCAGATCCCACGTCTTCACTGCAGCCTGCAGTGGTTTGCTCCCTCCATAGGAGGGAACCACGAGAAATCAGGAGGAGCCTGTGCTGCCTCCAGTCCTCCTTGGAGTATCCCTGAGGAATGAAACAAAGCCAAGCAATACTGAGCTGGGAGGAATGGCACGCATGAAGGATGACAGAGTTACACCTCTTAGTGACCCCATAGACTGGAGGTGTGGTGTAAAAACAGGGCGAAGGCAGGCGAAATGCCGGATTACAGCCCACTGTGCTCCCGGAGGATCTCGCACCCTTGCCCGCTCTGCCGGAGAAAGGAGAAAAAGCTGGTGGTGCTGCAGCACAGGCAGGGCACGCCATGGATGCCGGGAGCTGAGCCCAGCCCCGACTCTTACCGGTCGCGTGTGTGCTTGTAGGCTGCATCCACCAGCTGCTTGGCTTCATCCACGCTGCTCAGGAGGGATGCGTCTGACAGCTCCTCTGGCAGATAGCGGTAAGGGAAAGGAAAGAGCAGAGGTGAGAGCTCTGCCTCCCACCTGGAACCATCCCTGTGCTGCACAGGGATTCTCTTCATGCCTCCAGCACCCGGGGATATCGGCACAGCAGTGCTGGAAGTAATTGCTGCTGCTCGCTCTCTAGACAGAGATATCTGTATATACATATAATCCTCAGGGGAGTCTCAGAGAGTCAATCCCGGGCATGAAAAGGGTATCTCCATCAGTGAAGGCTTCAAATAGCCACCATGAGAGATGTAGGCATCATCCCTCCTGCTGTTTCACAGGACAGCACTTGCTATTTCTTCAAGGTATTTTGCAACCCCAATTAATGTGATTCATCTTACTTCTACACCTCCAGCCATAGTTGCCTTCAGAGAGCCTGCACAGATACCTCTGGCTGCCATGACAAGCATTAAGAGCTCTAGTCTGCGGTTTTTTCTCATCACTGTCTTTACCCCCCCCCTTTTTATCCTAGGTTGGTTATAGCCACGTTGCCAATACACCTATGGTGAGTTTGGGTCCTTCCCCCCGGCACCAACTGGCCAAAGCTCATATATATCCCCCTATACATCAAGGCAGAAGGGTACACAGCCCAATTTCCCCACTGCTTTCCCCAGTCCATCCTGCAACCTCCTGCCACCCTCACTGCTCCCCCTCCTGCTTGGGGGAGCTCCCAAAAGTGAATCGCATCCTCATCATCTGCTGGCTGCGGGTCACAGAACAGGAGGGGACAGCCCCTGGTGGGCTTCTCTGAGTGACAGCATTTTCTACAGCTTCTAGGGAAGAAGAAAACTTCAGAAATCAGCACAAAGGAGATAAAGATCTCGTAATTCTCCCCAGATTCTTTAAAATATCTTCCCTGATCAACCCAGAGTTCACCTCTTCGACAATCTTGGTGAGAAAAATTATTGCCAGGACCACCATTTGAGACAAATGAAAGGTCAGGCATGTGCTTTCCAGAAGGATTTTACATTGCAAATTAACAGGCAGAGGTCTCTATATGTTTTGGAGCAGTGATTCCGGGCTGGAAGAGCACCAAGTGACCGCCCCATCCCCAAACTCCACAGCCCCTGGTAGCTCCAATTCACCAAATGCTGCAGCAGCCAAAGCAAGTTCACTTCAGAAAGAGACAATAATTCATTCCTCACTTTGAGAACAGGAACGAACCCCCCCCGAGAAGAGGGGAGTTCAGTTTTCAGCCTCCACAAAAAATAGCATGAAGGGAGTGAGCGACCTGCCCACTGCCGGCACTGCAGCCCCCAGGGCTGAACCGCACTCTCCCAGGAGAGGCAGGGAGGGAGACCATTGTACCATGGGGATGGAGCGGTTCCTAGAACTGACCTCTCCTTTAACATGATTTTAAGAAATCAGACAGGATGTTAACTGATAAAAACATGAAACAGCCAGGATTGCTGTCACAGTAGATACAAACTGACTATGCTCCTTCCAACACCTCTTCAGGACTTTGCTGCTTACAATAGAATAATTCAGGCTCTTCTAGACTTAACTTTATCTTTCCTACTCAGAAAAGACCCTGATCTGCAAAACCTAAGAAAAAGACAATACCAAAGGAAGAAGATACAGATGCCTGGAACAGGCTGAGGATCACCAGCAGCCCCAGGAAGATTTCTGCCTTCATCCCTGCAAAGAAAGGCAAGAAGTGAAGAACACCAAGAATCTGTGGATCTCGCCGTGCATTGGAAAGGTCAGTGCCCACACTGCTGACGGCATGTGTTAAGGGAGCTCATAAGGTGTCCCCTTCCCAGTGCAACGTTCCCCAAGAGCGAGTGTGCTGCCAGGGATGTACGTGCAGTGGCACGTGGAAAGGGAGCTGCCTCCTGTCCCAGGGACCTCAGGCACTGGTGGGAACACACTGCTTTGGGACTGTGGAGGCAACACAAAAGGGAGCAGGGGGTAGAACACACTGCCAGTGCTGCAGGCAGGCAGTTTGCCAGGGAGCCTGGGCAGCAACACAGAACATGCGGGGAGTGTTGGTGCATGGGGTTAGAAGAGCTGGAGGGGAAGAGGGATCAGCCAGGGCAGCATGGGAGGTCCTCTACACATAGACATTTGGGATGTTTTTGCCCAAAGCTGATGCGCTTACCTCCCAAGGCTGCTCCAAAGCAATCAGCTTTATCAGCATATGCCCAGAGCTGTGGTCTGTGCCTACTGCACATTGTTTAGCACCCACCACAGAGCTTCCGGCAAAGGTAGCTCAGAGTCCAGCCTAAAATGCCGAGCTAAACCCATTCCTTGTGCAGGAGCCCCCGGCAGCAGCAGCAATGTGGTCAAGCCACATCCTCGCTGTGCTCCAGCTGTGCTTGGTGCCAGGCAGAGTACCTCTGCCTGCCCTGCAGCAAGGTGGGGGAAGCCATCACACAAGCAGTGGGAAACGCAGACCTCAGCTGGGTGCTCCAAACACAGCCCCAGCCCCCCCCCACCCCCATCCCCCACCCATGGTACAGAAACAAGTGCTCCATGAAAGCAAAAGCATGCAACGGGCCAGGCTCTCACCTGCGATCTTCTGCTGTCCTCACCATGGTCCCCTCTGTGCCCACGCTTTTATCTGCAGCAGGGTGTTATCTGCAGCGGGCGCCCCGGTGGGGCTGACCCACAGGGCTTGGAAACTCCCCCACGGGTGCATGAGGCCAAGGCAGTGCAGCACCCACCTCCCACCCCAGCTCCCTAGCAGGCAGGTTCCTGTTGCACCCACCTGAAGACACAGCCTGATACTCAAGCAGAGCTTCCCCAGTTTTTTGGGGGGGGAAGACACAAGGCAGCACTTTGCCATGATTTGAGAGTCTTCACTCCTTCTGCAGATGTCTTACAGGGACAGGGTTCCTTCCCCCATGGTGCTCTTCATCCTTTGCTGCTCTTAGAGGCTGAAAAAGCTGTCTTCATATCCACCTACGGAGGCACCACCTCTGAAGGGTGTCTGCTTTGCTCAGCCCTCCCCATCCCACCTCCCTAAACCCACCCTGCCCCGTGTCTCTGTTGTGGTCTGGAAGGGTCCATGAATGCTGCTCCTTCTGCACTTCCCTGCATAGGCAGGAGCAGCAAGAGGAGGCACCTGGATGACGGTATGAACAGGCTTCACCAATCTCCAGCTGCTGATCTTAAGCACAGGGCAGCTCAAGTAGGATCTCACCCTTGCCCAAACTACTGTTGTACTGGGAGCTGATCTGGCAAAGTATCACCTCTTCCCCTGGCCACAGCCCCTCTCCCTGCCCCAGTGCAAATCCAGCTGATGGCCAAATCCTTGCCGTGTTACAGCTGAGCCGATGAGGCAGCGTAGTGGCATACTGCTGGATCAGGCAAATGATGTGCTTGAACAAGCTGGTGTACAGAGAAGCAAAGGAGTTGCTCACCAGCGCTGTTCCTCAGCTCACTCCTAACTAATTGCACCTTGCAATTGTGTTTTTCCTTCTGTAACAGAAACTCCTTGGTTTAGCAGCACAGACTGAGAGCACCCAAGTCTCTGCCATTCTTCCCCCAGGGTAGGTTAAATGAACGTCTATTAGCTGAACTCTTCCCTGTGTGGGACCCTCCAGGCACCGCAGTGGTTGTACAGTGCCTCTAGCAGTGACTCTGCAGGTGTCCCTGTCCCTGAAGCTGGGGTCCTTGCAGGTGGAGCCGTACTTTTTGACACACTGTCTTGGTCCTTCAGTGCTTTAAAGAAAATCTGCAAAGCAAATTGCAGATCTTGCAGTGAGTCACGGGTGAGGCTGCACCTGGAGCACAGGTCCTGTTTGCAGACCCCTAGTCCAAGACAGGTTTTGACAAACTGGAGGGGCTCCACCTAGAGCACAGAACATATGGGAAAGCTGGGTTTGGTCAGCCTGGAGGGGAGAAGGCTGAGAGGGGAGCCTCACTATTGGCTTCAACTATCTCATGGGAGGCCTATAGAGCAGATAGAGCCAGTCTTTTCCAAAGTGCACAGTGAAAGGACAAGAGGCAATGGGCACATGGTGCTGCAAAGAAAATTCCCATTAGATGTAAGAAAAACACCCATAAGAGTAGTGCAGTGCACGGACATGGCCCAGAAAAGGGATGGGATCTGAATCCTTGAAGATAGCGCTCACTTGAACAAGACCCTGAACAACCTCCCCTGGCCTTTGAGGTAGCCCTGCTGTGGGCAGGGAGGGGACCAGAGGTTCAGGAGGTGCCCCCACCCCACACCTTTCTGTGATCCTATGAGCTCAGCACGTTTGAAAGAGAAGCAGAGTAGCTGCCTGAGCTGCCACCATCACCAGCTGCTTGCACAATGGCAAGCGCAGCACTGCTCTTGTGCAAAGGGAGAGCTGGCAGGTTTCCAAAGCCATTATCTGCATTTCATCTGCTTGTCTTGGTTTCAGCTGGGATAGAGTTAACTGTCTTCCTAGTAGCAGGTACGGTGCTGTGTTTTGAGTTCAGTATGTGAAGAATGTTGATAACACTGATGTTTTCAGTTGTTGCTAAGTAGTGTTTAGTCTAAAGTCAAGGATTTTTCAGCTTCTCATGCCCAGCCAGCGAGAAAGCTGGAGGGGCACAAGAAGTTGGCACAGGACACAGCCAGAGCACCTGACCCAAACTGGCCAACGGGGTATTCCATACCATGGGACGTCCCATCTAGTTTAGGAACTGGGGAGTGGGGGGGAATCGCCGCTCAGGGACTAGCTGGGTGTCAGTTGGCGGGTGGTGAGCAATTGCCCTGCGCATCATTTGTAGATTCCAATCCTTTTATTACCACTGTTGTCACTTTATTAGTGTTATCATTATCCTTATTAGTTTCTTCTTTTCTGTTCTATTAAACTGTACTTAGCTCAACCCAGGAGTTTTACTTCTTTTCCCAATTTTGTCCCCCATCCCACTGGGGGGGGGGGAGTGAGCGGCTGCGTGGTGCTTAGTTGCTGGCTGGGGTTAAACCACGACACTGCTGTATCATGCAGCTCACCAGTTAGGATAACGATTTTCTAAAGGCTAGTGAGACAGTTAGTGCATATCTGTGCTGACAATTGCATTTCACAATTAGGAACTTACTTAATTGCTCTCAAAACTGCTTCAGAAACCATGGAAGTGGGAGGTTTTGAGACATGCTTTGTCTCTTGAATGTGCACTTTCCCTGGAGACTGACCCTGCTCCCAGATAACAGTGGATGGAAAAGGCCATGCGTTTGGGTGAGCCTTCTGTTGAGCATCAATGCAAGTGCCAAGCCCTCATGCTCACCACCTTCAGCAGCAAAGGAGAGACCATGTGCTGCTCCTCTAGAGTGAGGAAACAAGTATGTCGATGCAAGTAATAGCACCTCAGAGCAGAGACGTGCCATCAACACCTGGGATACAGCACAGCAATTAGAAGCAGAGGGTACAAAGCAGAACATCTAGATTATATTTCCATTTTACCTTATTTTTTTTGTTTCTTGTAGCCTTTTGTGTTTAGATACCAAAGCCTGAAGTTCTTAAACCTTTCCCAAAAACACTTCTCAGCTTTGCTGTAAAGCCTGCCTTGGAGGCTTTACAGCCTTGGAGGTTTGGTGTTGGGGAACCAACTGAATTAGGGCGACTTTGCTAAATGATAAGAGTGTGTCTATCGCAGCAAAATTTGCTGGGAGGCAGCCCAGCACATGCCTGGGGAGCAGAGAGACAACATGTACCTTCTGGTCACAAGGGCTCAGCTGAGGAGGGAGGAAGCACCAGGAGTGAGGGAGCCATCCTGCAGGCACTGGTTGCAGACATGGCCTCCAGCTCTGGGCAGACCCCAAAACGTTACAGCCGCTGCTTTTCTTCCTAAGGGTTTTGTTCTTCAGTTCATCCCCTGATGAACTGATAAAAGCAATGACAGGCAGTTTCTTTCAAAAGACTTTAAACAACTTGCTTAGGAAACTCCAGCTGGTAAATTCAGTTAGAACGGCAACCAACTTCCTCCATGGCAGGGCAAGCTGAAGATAAATTACTGGGTCGCTGATGACTTTCATCACGTAAGTCTTGCTTCAGAAATCATAGAAACACCTTCCAGCATTCATAGCTGCAGCAACTTTATTACTTCAAAACTTTCAGTCTATTCTTGCCTTGACTGCTGTCCACCACAGGAAACAGTGGTTCACTGCAATATCAAGATCATCCTGAAACATTTCTCTCCAAGGTGTAGCAGCTTCGCAACAAGTCCCTCCTGTCAGGGAATCCTGCAAAATCCCCAGAAAAGCCCACAGTGACTTGCCACCTTGGCTGAATTACCAGAGGACCAAGGTACACAACTGCCATTCCACAGAACTGACCCAACATTTATGCGCCCGTGGCCTTCGCAGAGCCCCACATAACACTGCAGATTGCAGTTTCAAGTGCTCACCTTTCCACTGATGGGACTATGAGGCATCAACAACTCAATGAGTTGTAAGAGCAAGGTACAGAGCCAATACCTGTGGTCTGACCTCAGAGCTTTTGGGGTTTCCTTACTTTTCCCTCTTTTAGCCAAAGTATATTGAAGCATATAAAGAATATCATCCAGCTGAAATGTTCCAGCTGGATGAGAGGGGAAAACCACCTTTTTTCTTCTCCTTTCTTGGGGTCAGATACCACAGACAGCAGCTCTGCTCAGTTCCAGACATCTAGGCAAACAGGTAGAAAAACTACAACTCCTAGCAAGACTGGAGGAAAGCTCAGT